CAATTTAGACTTCCGCGATGTCGAGAACACTTCCAGCTACCTTTGTGAAGGGCTTCCACAATGAGGAGCTGGTTCGCCGCATGGAATACCGCAAACTGGGTGGCACCAATCTGAAAGTATCGAAAATTGCACTAGGCGGAGCTACATTGAGTGCGCTCTTTGACAAGAAATTCGACGAAGAGGAGGGCATCAGAACCGTGCAGGAAGCTATTAAGTCGGGCATCAACTATATCGACACTGCACCATTCTATGGCCAAGGTCAGTCGGAGCAGGTGCTGGGCAAGGCGCTGATGGATGTCCCAAGGGAAGCGTATTACATAGCCACCAAAGTGGGACGCTACGAACTTGAACCGGAGCGCATGTTCGACTTTTCTGCGGCCAAAACTCGAGAGAGCGTCAAGAAGAGCTTGGGTCTGTTGGGCTTGGACTATGTGGACGTGTTACAGGTGCATGACGTGGATGCGGCCCCCAGTCTGGACCTAGTGCTGAAGGAGACAATTCCAGTGCTCGAAGAGTTTGTGAAAGCCGGCAAGGCGCGTTTCATTGGCATCACCGGCTACGATGTAGACGTTCTCAAGGAGTGCGCCGAGCGAGCGCAGGGTCGGGTGGAACTATCCAATTGTCTTCTCATGTCTCTTGCAGTGTTTTCAAGCAGTCCTACAGCTGGGGATCGACGTTGTCGACGGTCAGGGACTTTAAATAAGTCAGCCATGTCTACCTATGCGAATGCTGGATGAGCTTTAATAACAATTAAAATGTCGAATGTTTTATGATTTTATGTGTGTCTGAATATAAATTTATTGTACTATCTACACCTATAATTATATAATAAATATATGTATGTCCATATGCCATATATTATTAGATCAGCCTCAATATCAGCTCAAGTTCATATATTTGTTTAGCTGTCAGCGTCTATAAAAATACATGCATATATATATATTTTCTATTTTTAGCTACTAAATGCACTTATGTACTCCTATCGCCAAACACAACACCAACAGCGAAACTATATACCCTGTATTCTTGTGAAAATGCATACTTAATCTGTGAGTCTCCCGAGAATTTAAGCGTTTCGTTTTTCCTCCATGTCCTGACTGACCGACTGAGTGGAAAATTTAAATGAACATATGTATATGCAGATGTAGCTGAATACAGTTAAGGTAAATATAAATTTATATTTTTATGTAAGTACATATATGGCTATGAACATATTCATAAATATTTTTGTATATACATATATTTATGCATATATACATGCAAATACGTTGGTGAGTTGAAAAAATAGATAAATGAAACTATTTTGATTTGATTATAAAAATAATTATTAATTGGCTTGGTTATGTATATATTATTATGATTATTATCTTAATCACGGCTTATGTAATTTTTCTATTTCTTTGATGTTTGTCTTTACCCTCCTCCTCTGTCTATCTCTCTCTCTCTCTTCCTCATTTTCACTCTTTCTTTATGTATTTTTTTTTTTTTTTTTAATGTATATCTCTCCCATTATTTGTCCTTCTATATGTTTCACTTTCAAATTTCGACAATCTACATATATACATACATATGTATGTAAATAGTGCATATAAATTTCCTCAATATCGATCAAGAATCTTGAGTACAGAACTATACATACATATATATATATATATATGAATATTTTGTCAAGATCTTCACAAGACAGAGAAGAAGATATTTACTTATATATAATTATTAGAGTTCACACTTTTCCATATGTTCATACGCCTACGAATTTAACCTGAGCTCGTCTGATCCAGCCCTGTTAAAAGTGTTCAATTCTCTCTTTAGGTTCCAGATGTTTTCGTTTATAATCTCGCTCAAGTGCTCAGCATATCAAGCACTTCTCGCAATCACACTAACACGCATGCAAAACCATTCCCGTTCTCTGATAGTGAAGCCAGAAGAGCAGAATGTTGGGCCGCACCAATTCATTGTCGAGTGTTGTCTCTTTGCGACTTGGACGGCAAATTGTGAAGGCTGAAAAAAAAAAAAATCAAAATGTCTGGAAAGTTACCGAGTACCTTTGTCAAGGGTTTTCACGATGAGGAGCAAGTGAGGCGAATGGAATACAGCACGTTCGGCAAAACGGGGCTGGAAATCTCTAAAGTCGCGTTCGGTGGCGGAGCTCTTTGCTCTAACTATGGGTGCGCTTGAAAGAGAATGAGAGTTCGGCAATTTACAATTTATTAATATGTCTTCTTAATATATGTATGTTTATTGCTACAGCTTCGATCTGGATGAGGGCATAAAAACAGTTCAGGAGGCTCTGAGAGCTGGCATTAACTACATTGACACGGCGCCCTGGTATGGCCAGGGGCGCTCAGAGGAGGTCCTTGGCAAGGCATTGAAGGATGTGCCAAGGGAAGCCTACTACATAGCCACCAAGGTGGCCCGCTATGAGCTGGACTACGAAAACATGTTCGACTTCAGCGCCCGGAAAACTCGTGAGAGCGTGGAGAAGAGTCTGCAACTGTTGGGCCTGGAATATGTGGATGTCATACAAATACACGATGTCGAGTTTGCCGAAAACTTGGACATAGTTCTCAACGAGACGTTGCCCGCGCTGGAACAGCTGGTTAAGGAAGGCAAGGCCAAGTTTATTGGCCTATCCGCATATCCTCTGTCGGTGCTGAAGGAATGCATTAGCCGCGCCGAGGGCAGATTCGATGTAAGTAGCACGATTTACCCTACGAAGACTTGCTCATTCTACCGAATTGTAATTCTGATTCCCAGACTGTGCTCACATACGCACGCTATACGCTTCTGGACAACTCCTTGGTCGACTACTTGGACTTCTTCAAGTCCCAGAATCTGGGCATCATTTGTGCAGCTGCCCATGCATTGGGTCTGCTGACCAATGCCGGGCCCCAACCCTGGCATCCGGCTCCCGACGACCAGAAGGCGACAGCACGTCAAGCTGCCGAGGTGTGCATCAAGCAAGGTGTGCAACTGGGCAAGCTGGCCATGTACTATACGAGTCGATTGCGAGACGTGTCCACCTTTCTGGTTGGCAATCAGACGCGGCAATTGCTCCACACGAATCTGACTGCCTTTTACCACGGTCTCAGCCAGCAGGAGCAGGAAGTGCTGCAGCACCTCAGAGAAAAGTGAGTGGTGGTCAGTCGCACTCGGAAGTTGACCGAAATTGTGCAACTCGGATACAATGTTACTGTTGCATCACATCCGACTCCGTTTGCAGTCACAGCCAGAGACAGAGACAGAGACAGAAACAACAACGATTCACAGTATGAGAGACAGAGACAGCAATACCCACAATTTGCAGTCCCGATCCGAGTCAGAGCCGGCTGCCATTAGTTGTCCATTTATGTGCCCACTCATTGTCAATCTTGGCCATCGGTGCAGTAGGCAGCCAGCAACTCTCTCGAGATATTTCCATCTCTTCATGCAATGAATGTGGCTGTTGTTGTTGTTGTTGTTGTTGTTGTCGTTGTTGCTGTTATTGTTATTGAACTTGTTTTAGTTTCGTGGCACAATCTAATTATGTCTAATCCATTGCAATATTATGACTGTTTCTGCTTGAAATTTATCGCTGACCAAATTCAATGATCTCTCAAATTTACATAATTTTATTTTTCAGCGTCCTGGTGAAATCCTCTCACTGGGAGGGCATCGAACTGGAGCGCTATTGGGCAGCAATGAAAAAGAAATAGATTACATTTGCATATATCAACAAATGTTTTTTAATTAATAAATGAACAGTGTTTTTTTTTCCAAATATTCTACATTCTTTGATTTTATTCAAATTGCAAATTCTGTAACATTTATTTGGGTTTTAAAGAGATTTATAATAGAAATATATATACTATATTGCTTCGCTGCTATTTATACTTCTTGATTCTATTAAATTTGTCTTTTAATTTAATAATTGTTAAGTTTTAATGCTCTAACTTTTGTTAGTAAAATATTTTTGTACCTATGGTACCTTTCCTTTAAAGGAAGCCGCATCCAGGACCCACTTTATTCAGCCATAAAGCCCCTTAAACGAAGTCACAGACTCTTTTATTAAATATTGAATAGCTTCACCAACTTGTTCAATATTAAATTATTTTAATCTTTGTAATATTGTACGATAAGATTATATTTTAGAAGAGATAAGCAACTGAAGAATTTGATATGGTAAGTATAAAAAGCTGTTATAATCACTGCCTGATATCATTTGTTAACTAAACTTGCCAATTATCATGTCAATCTGTCTATGATCAATTTAAAAGAAATCAATTATTTAGCTCACTAAATGATTTAGCTTTCAAAATGCATTTTTGTTTGTTATCCAAAAGAAACGATATATGCAACTTCCACCTTTCGCTGCCATGGTCACCCGCCTGAAAGCCTGAAAATGCACTAATTAAGCCTTAATTAACGCAATTTTTCAATATACCTACATACATACATCCATATACATATGTATATTGAAGAGAAAAACAAGCCGCTCGATTTTATGGCTCTGTGGAGAACCGTCGAAGCGCGCTGCGGTGTACAAAACGGGGAAGTTTAATAACATTTTGAATAATGAATACTCATACCAACAACAACAACAACAACAGTCGCAACAAGAAAATGCAATACGATATAAATGCACAACAAAAATCCGCACGAAAAGCGGAAATGCTGTGGATGAAGCCGCATTTTGTTTTCCTTAAGCTGCACTTTGCGTTTTTGCCTTGCAACAATTTGCTGCCAAAGCCGAAAATATTCACTACCTACATGTATATATGTATGTGTGTGTGTGTGTGTGTGTGTGAGCGTGTACAATCGCTGCCAATAAATATAATGTTATCAATGCAATTGCTCCAACTAACTCTCCAGCTGATTGACCAGATTCTCAGTTGCGCAAGCGCTCCTTCTCACTCACAATCTCTCTCGGTTGCCTCGCTGTCTCACTCCAACACGCCACCTGTTGCCCGAGCCGAGCTTTCGGGCGACTACGTTTATATGCGCTGCGCCGTCGCACTCGAAGCGTCAGTTTCGTCTACTGCTTTGAGACGTTGGGACGTGTTCCGTGATTAGAGACAGTTGTCCACAGTGTATTAAATAATAAGTCTTCGTAATCCAGTGCAATATGTTTGGTCAAAAAAATATGCTGTTGATTCTGCTTGGCTGCAATTTGCTATTAGCCATCAACGCGTCTAGCAACACAAATAAGAAGCAGCAACAACAAAACCAAGGTAGGCAAAGCCATTTTAAAGGCGCAACGATCACGGGTTCACGAAAGGTGTGGAGAAATTTTCAATGCCAACTTAGGGCAGTTCTAGGCATACCAAAACAAAAGAAACCGGTTTTGCGTATAGAACGCCGCTTGCAGCCGGCGTAGAAGGCCAGTAAGAGTAAACAGTTTCTTGAACTTGTGTGATATGTTTCATAGGGTACACATAAACAACTTACCGTTAAAATGTCGATTTCCAAAAAGAAAATGCTGGAAAATGAGTAGCTCCAAAGAGAGAACACTTTCCCAAAAACAGTTCGCCATATACGAATCCAAATATTTTTAGTTTTTTTTTTTTTCATATCATAAATGAGAATCATATCAGCAATATAATCTGTTCTACTAGCTACATACATATATAAACCCAATTATCTCAACACATAAATCACAACCACATTTATGCTTGCTTCTGAAATATTTTTAGACTTCATCAATTAATATACTTTTCGTACCGTTTTAGAAATCTGGGAGCAAGACCTAACGGATACTTTTAAAATTGAGGGCAGCGATCAGGGCATACAAAAGGTTAATCTGAAATGTGGTGCCAATTCAATGAATGTGATGTTAGAGACTGAAAAACCATTTACGGGCGTCATGTATACACGTGGTAGCTTCTATAAGCAAACGGCTCCGTGCTTCATGAAACCCGCAGCTAGTCAGGGAACACGTCAATTGGAAATGAGCTTCCAATTGGATCAATGCCAGACACTGAAGGATGGTGAGCTGTATTCGAACATTGTGGTCATACAGAACGATCCAGAACTCATAACGCCTGGGGACTCGGCTTTCTCGTTGGAATGCGATTTCCGTCAGCCGCGCAGCTTGGACGTCGAAGCTACCATGCAAACTAGAGACAGGTACGTTGCTTTGAAGAAGAATGCATCTTAATAGCAAATATATGAACTTCTGCGAATACATGTACAATATATACATATACATGAATATGTACGATCTAAACATAGAAATCCACAAAAATTGCGCGGAGCACGCGGTGGAACCCGCCAGCGTCAATAGAACTTCACCCTATGAGTACCTATTAAGTTCTTCAACTATATTCACTTTGAATAGCTGTACTAAAGGTACAAGTTCAAACTTAAACTCTTTGCCTTTGCACATGTTTTAACTAACATTTTAAGTAGAGCCTAACTAACAAGCACTGGACACACACCTCACACATCACATAACCACACGAGATACGTACATACATTCCACAGAGTTGCGACAAAATCCAAAATTACACTGACAAGTCCCGATCCCGCGGCCCCAACGGAAAATCTACAAAACTCGGTGGTCAGCAACAGTGATACAGTAGAGTATATACCAAAGTTCTCTAAACCAAACAAAACCATAAACCTGGGCACGGTAGAGGAAGTGATTTTGCCACTGGCTCAGCAAAGAGATGAGCTTTAAATAAAGTCAGTAAGCATTTCTTCCTCAAACAACACAAGCAATTATTACACATACAAATACCAACTACAGGTGAGACACCAACACTCGCTTTTTGCTAAAATACATATTTATTTATTTTGTTCAACGCTGTGGCGATTTTGACACCTTTTGATAAACCAACTAATCTTCTTCCATTCTTATAGGAATAATACACAGAACTCTACATCGGCTGCCTAAAACGGATTTCATAAATAATTTCAACAATCTGTTTTATATCTTTATCCTGTGATATTTTTTAAGTTTGGGTTTAATAAAAAAAGTATTCACCGAAATTAATTTTTGAGTTTTCATTTGCGCGCAAATAACCAAGAGTTGCTATTGAATGCACATCTGATATTTCTAAAGATCTGGCAGCGCTAAAAAGCTTTCCGTTGTCTGGCAGGCTTTGGTGAGTAAAAAATCACAATTAACTTCGCAGTTTTATCTGGAGAAAGATATTTCTGTACTACAGGTAGCTATCACATTCTGCTTCTGCTTTCGATACGAAAAACATCAAGTGTGAGTATTTTGCAATTTGATTTGATTTCAAGTTTTACAAAAACGAAAACTTTAATCAATTTCACGTCATCTGTTTGATTTCGTTATCATTGCGTCTTTAGATTTACACAAAGAGCTGCACAACTGAATTACCATAGCCTTTAATTTAATTAGTCAGCGACATTAATGTTTTAAAATGGATGGCCGAGTGTTTCTCGTACTGCTATTCGTCTTGAGCGGCACGGTCAACGTTTTATTCGCCAAGTAAGTAAACTGTCAATGCGAGGGGAGCATCTTCCACATTGAGAAAACTAATTGCAGATGGACGAACATTCAATCATTCGAGGGCAGCGATGGAAAACCGCATCATTTCCAACATCCTGTAGTACTGACCCTGCTCATGTTTCTGGGCGAGTATCTGTGCTTTGTAGTGTACAAGATCGTTCACCTGCTGCTGGCTAGACGCTCTGTAAGTAGTTGTGCCGTAATGCATTGCCAGTTGTTAAAATGTATTCATACATGTTCGCAATAGCTTGGCAGTGATTCGGATCTTATTTTGACCAGTGGAAGCAATGAATTCCAACCGTTGAGCATGCTGCTGCCATCTTTTTTGCGTACAATTGCTTCCATTTTGTTGTTTACGGGATTGTACCTGACGTATGCCACCAGCTTTCAAATGATAAGAGGTACGTTTATCAACAGTCAGCTGGGCTCCATCTCAACATTTATATGTATTGTAGATGTTGCACTGATCTTTGTGGGCCTGTTTAGTACGATGTACTTAAACCATACATTGACTACTCACCATTGGTTGGCCATATTCACCATGACGTGCGGAATCGTTGATATATTGGCCTTGGATGTCCAGCGGGTTGAATATGATAACCAAACGGTTCCGCATACAGATCACAATGCCATTTTAACTGGCGATTTATTGATTATAATTGCTGAAGTGTTGCACGGCTTTCAATACGTGTATGAGGAAAAACACTTAAAGGCCTCCGATGTAGCGCCGATCCAGGCTGCTGGTTGGCAAGGCTTCTTTGGAATCATCATCACAATCATATCTGCGATCTGCCTGAACTTTGTACCAAGCGTTGCACCGTTTAATGAGAGCTCACGAGGTGTCTTTGATGACCTCACTGATCTGATTCCACAGCTACGTGGCAACACGCTGCTAATCCTTGCACTTGTCTGTTTTACCTGCTCTAGCGCCATATACAACTGTGTGGGAATGTCGATTACGAAATTTTCATCCAGCTCCAATCGTCTGTTCGCCGATGGAATTCGAGTCTTTCTTATCTGGGCGTTTGTTCTCTTTGCCGAGTGGGAAATTCTGAATCTCATTACACTCATGGGTCTTATCATACTACAAATGGGTATTATTATGTACCGGCAGGCAGTCTTTCTCTCAACGATACTCAGGTATCGTGCTCTTTTGGCACGCTTGCAGCGCATTCGTTATATGCTCCTGAACGCCGACGCTGGCCCTACCCCAAGCACCCAACCTGCCGATGTTATTTAAAATGTGATGGGCGAAGAAGTTTGAATTGATTGTGATAAGAGAGCGGTCTGATAGTCTATACAATGGTGGGATGGATCACTAAAAATTTACTTATCAACTGTAATAATACAAATATATATACTCTCAAATTTACTCAGTTCTTTACATATACACATCTTTAAAATGCGGTGGGATGAGGTAAAGCAACCCAAAAAATAAGATCACTTGCAATCAAAATTGCAGCAATTTTCAAATTTATTTCGTAATTTAAATGTAATATATATGAAAGACATAAGGAATTCTTTCAACACAGTCTGTGTATCTTTAATTTTGTAAATATTAAATTCTAAATAAATTACGAGCCTGTAAGTTAAGGTCAGAATGAAGGTTCAGCGAACCTATATTTTAAAAGGTCAAAAATGCGTAATAAATTGCCAAGGTGAAGAGACAACAGTATTCGAGTCCTCACTAACAAGAATAGCCGCCAATCCGAATAATACAGAAACGGATCCATCAATCTCCCAGCTTAAAGGTCGAGCTATACATATACTTTTACTCGTTAGTATAAGACTTATATACCAACTTTATGTTTCGGTTCTCTGGTAGAAACAGAGACCACAAATTTTGTATCCTCGACTGATTGAAACAGAGTCCGGGATCTTCAATTCCGATACTCACATTCGTTCAAGGATTAAAAACTATTCTGCTCCTTTCGCCAATAGAGATTTAAAATTCAGAGCAATTATCAGCAATTCGAAACAAATTTTTTATGTAGGTGACCAATAAATAAAACTCGTGCTAAAAGCTGTCAAATAATATATAATATATATTTATTTACTACCGCATATACATTATATAAATTGTTTCGATGTTACTTATAAACATGAAAGTATAGTAAAACCAACAATTACAATATAAATTATTTCTCAATATCAAGAGTATGCCCGCATTAGATAGAAATAAAATATATAACAAACAAATGAAGTAATTATGTGGATGGCATCTATTTTCTTTTCGATATTCGCATTTAGTGGCCAGCCAAAAAGCCTACCTTTCCATTGAAACTGCTTCTTCTGTCGTCCTGAATAGCTAGATAATGAAAATTATCAGCGAAATGAAATGCAGTGGACTGAAGTGTGACAAAAAAACTTACTCGTGTCTTTGAGCTCGATAGTCATATTTTGACCAAAATTGATTAATTTCAATCTAGACAGTCTATATAGTACATATAACCAAAAACTTGTGCATAAGATGTATGATTCTTTTTAGGTTGTCAATAAATCACATTAATTTATATTTTTGTGTAATCGAAACAAACTGATAGGCTTTAAATTTAATTTATAAATGTATTAACTAAAAATTTGTATGTCGTAAAGTTATGACAGTTGTTTGTAGAAGATATCTTGCTTTAGTAGCTATGGTCATAGTCTTACTGTTTCTAACAGTTAATTCGCTTCCTAAAAGCAAACAAAAAATGCAAATTTACTAAAAATGTCTATTCATCATATATAGGCAAAAGAACGTGCAAATTGTACTCAACTAATTATAGTGTGTATAAGTGGAAGTTCTATATGCGTTTTCATAGAAATGTGTGGCTAAAATAAACACTTACATAATAATAGTATTAAAAATCATAATCATAATCATATAATAGCATTGATATATAATAATAGCATTGATAATCATTATCTTATTGTCATTGGGTTAGAAGTTCTTTTGCCTGTAGTAGTTTGTATTATCAACTGTATATATAAATTTAAATACCCATATATATATATATATATATATATATATATATATATA